ATAAATGGCTGCATAGATAAAGATAAATAGCTATATGGACCCTTTCCCTAAATGGCTAAATGGCTATGTTTAGTCTACTGCATTATCTAGTTATACATATATTTATAAATCTTATAATAGCCATAAAATACAAATAATAGCCACAAAAAACAGTCGCAATAATATTAATATCATTATGATATATGAAATGTTTAAATTCTTTTTAATAAAAAACACCAGCTATATTTGAATCTATTTTAAATATGATATTATGGAACGTAAGCAATACAAAACGCAATATTTGTACTGTCTTAATAATAAGATAAGTTTACCCGATATTAAAATATTGTGGCATGTATAATTTAATAAAACGTTATTTAAAATTTATGCGATAGATTTGATTTTTATAATCTAATATTAAGTATTCTAAATTATTTTTAGACTTTTGAAATTTTATTTCTTTTCTCACATCTTAAGTTTTTGTTAGTAAAAAGCGCATTATTTTATTTGTAATACGATTTTACCGGTTTTATATCTAACGTGTTAAAGTAAGTAAGTACACGCGATTGATATATCAACCAAATGATATCGATCGTATGAGAAAAGCTGATGGCTAGTAACATTCTTCTATGAAGCAAATGCGCGTTACCAAGATTCTAAAGAATAAAGAATACTGAAAATATGGATGTTGAGTTTGATATTAATTTCTATCCCCTGTGTATAGTGCTAATTTTTCTTATCCTTTAAGATTTAAATAAATTATAGCAATGTGAATAGATTTTATATGATATCAGCAGAGAGTAATAATATTTTGTTAACAGTATATGCAGATGTCATATTTGAAAAGCAATACTTATTCTGGATATTTTGAAGAAATATTTTGTACTGGGTAAACATAGTAAGTTATTTATTTCAGTTTCATTTTAATGCATGTAAATTTCTATAATTCATGAAACTATACATGCAAAAAATGATCTATATACATATTGTATAATATAGAATGTATTTGAATCATATATTACAGTTAAATTTATTATCAAAGGAGTAATGGGTTAAAAATGAAGCTGTATAAGTTAATAGTCCACCAAAAAACCTTTAGTGAAGAAGATTTAATAATTAATCCAAAAGATCATCCTAGTATAAAAACTGGAGATGTTGTTGAAATTTATCATCCAGAGGTTGAATTTAGTCGACTACTTCTTCAGGTCACATCCTTTAAAGAAGATTTACAAGGACGTGAAACAATTAGTGTGGAGAACAATGTAGCAACAATGTTTCAGCTAAGAACATTTGGAGATGTCTATATGAATGTTGTTAATCCAGATGATGTAGCTTTGGATTCTGTGGAACTTACTTTTAAAGATCAATATTTGGGTCGTAGTGAAATGTGGCGTCTAAAAAATAGCTTGGTACAATATTTTACTTGTTTCTAGATATATGCTTAAGTATTTTGATATTATCAATTTGTATATTTTTTTTTTATAAATTTTCATCAGGTTAATACATGTGTATATATGAACAAAAAGATTGAATTCTGTGGAGGCAGTATAAGATGTCAAGTGTATGAAATGTGGTCGCAAGGTGATAGAGTTGCTTGTGGTGTTATAACAAATGATACTAAGGTTCAAATTTTGAATACAATGAAACAAAATATGTATAAAATTGTTTCTCAAAGATATGCCTTTTAGGTTGTGTTTCGTTCTTCAACAAGTATGGTGTATCTTTTTATTCAAATGAGTTCAGAAATGTGGGATTTCGATATTCATGGTGACCTATATTTTGAAAAAGCAGTTAATGGATTTCTAGCTGACTTATTTCAAAAATGGAAAAAAAATGGCAGTAACCATGAAGTAACAATAGTTTTATTCTCAAGAACATTCTATAATGCTAATAGTCTAGAAGAATTTCCAAATCATATGCGTGAATGTTTACAACATGACTATAGAGGAAGGTTTTATGAAGATTTCTACAGGGTGGTAGTTCAAAATGAAAGATTTGAAGATTGGAGTAATGTATTAGTACAATTACGTAAACTATTCACAGATTATCAAAAAATTGTATTAGAGTATCATCAAAAACCAGGTGTTATTATTCCAAAAGCAGTTAATTCAACAGCTGCACAAGGAAATTTTTTAGAAGTTTTAAATATGTCTTTAAATGGTAATAATTAGATATATGCAATTAAATATAGTGTAAAGTATTTTTCTTAATTTAATTTCCTTGCAGTGTTTGAAAAACATTATCTGGACCGTAGTTTTGATAGAACTGGTCAATTATCAGTAGTAATTACACCAGGTGTAGGTGTCTTTGAAGTTGACAGAGAGTTAACAAATGTCACAAAACAAAGAATTATTGATAATGGAGTTGGTAGTGATTTGGTATGTGTTGGAGAACAGCCATTACATGCAGTTCCTCTGTTAAAGGTATTTATGCTGAAAATATTAAACAGTAATTAATAATAACATACATGCATGATGATATTTGCAACATAATTTTAGTTTCACAATAAAGACACATCTGTTAATGCACCTGATGACTACAGTATGCCACATTGGATTAATCTTAGTTTTTATTCAACAAATAAAAAAATTCCTTATTCAACATTTATACCTCGCATAAAACTTCCTCAAAGGGTGTCAAAACAACCAATAGAAAATGGAAAATTGCAATGTAAAAATAAACTTTTACAAGAAGATGCAAGAGAATGTTTACATAATACATTATTTGACTATGATGCATATGATGCACAAGTCTTTCAGTTACCTTCTGTTCATACTTCAAGGTAAATTCAATACTAATTTTGTTGTTAAAGTTTTAAAATCGAGAGTTCTAACTTAAAATTCTACACAAGCAGTTTGCAACGAGTTACAACAAGGACCAAAAAGACAAGTGTTGCAAGTATGGAAACACATAATAATGCACACATACTAAAATTTTTGAAAAGAAAAATGTCAGATCCTGATATTCACCATCCACCACCTGAATCTCATTCTCCTCCAGCTACAACAAGAAGTGCAGCAATCTCAATACCTTCTAGAACAGATGATGTTGCTAGTAATGAATCTAATGGAGAAGTTAATGGCATGTATTTAAAGTGTTTCTATGAATTATATATAAAATAAGACTTTGGACAATAATAATGAGTAATCATATGCTACATAGAATCAAGAACATCGGTAAAAAGTGATTTAACAGATTCAGAAATATCACCCCCGTTTAGGCCGGTTGTTGGTAGTGCTGGAAGCCCAACAAATACAATATCTCAACCTGCAAGTATTAGACCCAGTAGAGCACTTATTAATCCTTTTGATCCATCTCACGTTACAATTAAACTTACTAGTAACAGACGAAGATGGACGCATATTTTTCCTAAAGGTAATTACTAATAAAGTAAAAAATTATATAATTGTTTAATGAAATTTTATTAACATTACAGGACCAACAGGTGTACTTATACAGCAACATCATTATCAAGCTGTTCCAGCACGAATGTGTTCAGAATCACAATCTGATGCTACTTCCACTATAAGTGTGTCTCCCATGGAACACAATGACATCTCTAATTCAAATCTGTTCCATGATCGTTAGTATTTCATGTAAAATATGTAAGCTGTGTATTATTATAACATAGCATTGTAACTATATTTTTCATAGATACCAAAAATAAACCCCAGAGATTAAATCTCTTACTATCAAGTGGTGATAAGGGTGGAAATCCAGTCTCTTCTACAGGGAATAAGTCTTTAACATTATTATGGGGTGCTACTGGTGAACAGGAATGGACACCAGCACTTACAACAGGTTTGCATACATTCTGATAAAGTAATTTATACCATAAATATACCATATAACTACTGGCAAATAATATTTTATAACATATCCAAATAACAATATTAGCCACATTATTATTCACAAATTATTACAACATGAGTTTACAGTTTGAAGAAAGAATTATGCAACAATTTTTATGGTACAAAATATTGGACAACTAATTGCAGAAATATAATGCTTCTTGGCAATTTTAGGAGAACAGTAAAAGCATAAGTAAAATGTAGGTGTAATTTTATAAATTATTCAATGCATACATTCATATGAAAAACTTTTTATTCATAATTAATACCAAGAAGGATTAATAAATGTGTCTTCAAACATTATTCCTTAAAGAATGAAAATAGTATATATATATGCAAGGAGAAAATATTGTTTTCCAAGTAGAAATGAATAAAAGTTTGGTACACAATCACACAATCATCATGCATAAGAAGTATTTTCATTCTTGGACATATTCATATTTATTTTTGAGATTCATCGATCATTTATATGAATAATATTATTACATTTATTTCCATGCAATGGTACGTCTTATTGGGATGCAACGCTGGACGTATTGACGCGTGTGTGATGTACAACTATGATGTCACATTAAACAGCAATCATAGGTTAGCGCCATACGTTATTGGGGGTTGATTCGGTTATGGTACACTTTTATTTTTAGGGCATTAAATTTGTAGTAACTTTTGTTCTTCGTAGCTCTAGTTTTTATGATTCTTCTATGCATGTATGTTCTCTGTTGCAAACGAGTAATTCTAATTCCAAAATAATTTCTGTAGGTAATAATCTACAGAATATTTATTATTATTACAATTATTTATACACCTACATAAAATTTTTCGTTATCTTTTATTTCTACTTATTTCACAAAATGTTTGCACTGTTCAAAATTCTAATTTCTTGTTAATGGATTCCATATATACTGTGATTTACCATTTGTGGTTCACAAATTCTTCAAACATTCTCTCATCTGCTTCATACTTCTTCCACTTTATCTCGCTTTAGTCACATTTTTTTATATTATTAATGGTAAATAGATGTAATATCTGGTAGAATTTACGACTAACGTATAGTAACTAGTACTATGTAAATTATCGACACATTTTCCTTTTTTCGTAAGTTTTTCGCATTATAATTTATGCCAATTATTCATAGGTATGCATATATCTTATCTATTATTATTTTTACCAAGTTGGTTTATTATGCTTCACAAAAAGCAATTTTGAAAATTCATAAAAGTACATTGAAAATAATACATCTTACATTGCATGCTTTAGTATTTAGTCATGATCATCTTGGATTTCATATACTGGTAACACTTACATTGTGACACTAATGTAATCACTATCTTTGGTTGGGGTGCATAAAGTATTTAATATATACTTGCATTATACAATAATTTTGCGAAAATTCCTTCTGTATACTACATCTATGTATTTTTGTATTAACTGCTATAAATACTTAGAGTTAGTACTTATAGTCATGATATTAACATTATATATTAAATAGATCATTTATTCTTTATTTTTAGTAATCTAACATGCAAACTGTATTTTTCATGTATATTTTACGTCTTATTTTTTAGGTGTTGATTGGAAATCATTGACTATCCCAGCATGTTTGCCTATTACAACAGACTATTTCCCAGACAAAAGAAGCCTACAAAACGATTATGTAGTGTCAGATTACAATCTTTTACCTGATGATGTTAATACAGATTTTGCTCAACAACGAGCAATATATAAAAAACCTTTAACAACTGCAGAAGTGTTCAAGGAACTTGTATCGCAACGATTAGCACAGGTACTATATTAAATTTATTTCCATTTCGATTACGTCTTCTTTCACACAATTACTATGTCCATTAATTTTTTTTTATTAAGGGTTTTCAATTAATTATCCTGCCGCAAACTAACAAAAATCAAAACATTACGCCCGGTAGTAATGCTGTTCCAGCAATAAGTTCTGTAATGCGCGGTCGACAAACAGAATCAGAACCCAAAGAGGAGTATTTGCTGAGTATCGGTAGAATATTTCATAAAATATCTTTATTCGATAATTGTATAACGGTAACAAGATATCGGCCAAGGTGAGAAAATGCCTTATAAAATAATCAGAAATGAAGAAAAAAATATTTAAACGTATTCTTACAGGCATCCTTATCCTCCATTCAATATTCATTATCTGTATCGATTTCACGCACCACACCACGATACGTACGAAGTATCGTGGGTATCTTTTACAACGGAGAAACTTGAGAATTATAACTGGAATTACTTAGATCATTATATTTGTACTAGGGGTCATACAGATTTCGCTTTAGTAGAGGTAACATTTGCATTATGTAATCAAATTCAATATTCATTATTTTGTTTAACCTTTTTAAAACTGTCTAAAACTTTTTAGGCACTTAAATATTGGAGGTTTCGTGTTTTCTTACTTCCTTTACATTATTCGGTGACTCGAAAATTTTTAGAAGGTTCATCAAGATGCGATATATATACACCCCTAACCACTTCCGAGCAAATTTCCCTCTTGGATGGATTTTTACGATTCATCGAGCTATGGCCGAATAAAATTCGACGTCCGAATCCGAACAAAAATTGGGTAATATTTTAATAGCAATTTTATAAAATAAAACAAGTTGATTTTTCAATCCATAGGAACTGATAAAAGATGAAAAAAAAAAAAATAGACTTCTTAAATAGGTCAAAAATGTTGAGAAAGATTTCGGGTACAATTCCATAAAAGATGCTTCGATATTACTTTTTCTTTCCAAACCCAACCATTAAACGTTTTTAATTTAACGATTTATTTTGTACTATATTATGCTGTATTATTGCACCCTAGAATTGAATGTCGCATGCCTGATGTACAATGCCTAAGCAACGCAATTTATTTTAGTGCTTCCATTATTTTTGAAAATTTATTATTTTCTTTTGTATCAAAAGTTGTAATTTTTTATTTGTTTCGCAGTTTTCGTTTTGCCAGATTTTTGGTGCAGTGCCACTTTAATATCTAGCGTGTTCCTAAATGGTGTATTTCGTATGTAGGATATAACAAGCAATAACATAAGGGTTAATCTAAGTTTAAACGAAGAGCACGATTTTTTTCACAAGCTTCCTTGGCACTCTATAAATCACTTATAAAGGCTATAACATACTTGAATACGATAATATATTATTATTACATACAAACTAATTATTTTCAAATAAAATCTCTGAACCAGTACTATAGCTAGCGGGTTGCCAATGCTGAAATTACACAGTTACATGAAAGTGTACATGTAATTGTAGATAAACAAAGATCAGTGGAATGTTAGGAGAGGGGTATTTAGCATGATATGTTTCAGAACCCTTCAACTCTAGGTGGTGTTTCCCAGAGAGATCCTGCCTCTCACTTGATCAGACGCAGGCACAGCACGAGCCTGATTGTCCTCACTAACCAGGTATATCCTCGCATCCTGTAGCCTCAATTTGCCGATCCAGGTGTCAATGAAATCATTATCATGTTTATCCATTAATCTCAATATATTTTGCCTTTTCTGACAATGAAGAACACCCATGAAATTTTTGTTTTTTTTTTGTAAATCTTTATATACTTGTTTATTTATCTAGACTCTTTAGTAATGTTAGATCTTAATGAGAAGTTTAAACATTTAGACAGCTTACACAACGTATTACACAATGAATGTAACCATGCTTGATATCTGCCTTTGAATGCGCACATAATTTTAGCAAGCTTGTGTGTAATGCAGAACGCCGACGTTTTATTTATCCTTTTTTCTTTTCATCGATGTAATAATGCTCTCCGGATACGATGTTAACAAATATCATTACAGTTAAACAAACCAGAGATATACTTCTTCATGATCATGAGCTTATTCATACATTTACAGTTACCCATACTCTTCATCATGCTTTTCAGACCAGTCTAGTCGGCAGCTCTCCCTTCAGGGAGCGACTCGGAAGCAATCGTCTACCAGAGAAACCGAGACCAAGGTTTGAACAAGCTTAGATTGATGATTTCGGCATTGTTGCTTTGGCAAATGTAATGGTATAGCTTGCAGCCTATTCATTTCACGATGGTGCAGACCCATCGAAGTTTGATGTTTAATGGTTTTCATTTTGCTTGTTTTTGTACTATGTATGTTCAATTACTAAATAGAACTGCTTTTAATTGTAGATATAAAGTTTAAAAAAAAATATGCAACACGACTAAAACACCGTTAAAGAATTGAAGATTAAATTATTTTTATGTGTATTTACAGGAAGTATAAATCCACTCTGAAAGGAGTCGTTGATTTCTCGCTAGGTATACATTATACCTGTAGTGCTAGTTTGTATCATTTATATGCTATGAATTACTAAGTATTGGAATTAAATTAATTGCATATAGAGAGATGAATGTTCAAACGAACAATTATGCAGTTTTAGTTTTATGAGCATACATTTTTCACAAGTATGCATTTTAACAGAAATACATTGCACATGATTTCTAATAAATTGCGCATTTGCATGTTTCATAAAAAAAAAAGAAAAAAAAAAGAAAAAAAGGAAGGGAATAATAGCAACTATTTATGTGTATATCTTGTACAACAATTATTACGTGCCATTGAGAAGGAGGTCAGTCTAGAAATCCCAAATCACTAAATTGATATTGTGCGATTTGCTTACAAATATTACATGCTTTTACTCTGGTGATGAATATTGAGGTACCTCTAATGCGTTCTATTTCTGGAAAGGGTGTGATCAGAATCGAAAAGGGAACAGTACTTGTAAATGTTTGAGAAAAATCTTTGTACATACTGCCCATTCTATACTTTTCAGCTGCTTTCATCTTTCTTTTCATCATTTAGTAAAGATGATGTACAAAGCATTTGTACCATTTAATTTCGTATCTACTGGAGGAATGTTACAATGAATTTTCAACGATATAACTATCGTTTTTGTACAAATGCTCTGTACAGTAGAAAATATTGGTAGTGAGTGAGGGAGTGACGGGGTTCTCTGTACAGGAGAGGCATGTAGTGAATACCGCTGCGACTGCCCGCACGTGCCTCGACACTCCTCGCCACGTGCCAAACAGGTTGGTTTTACTCTTTTAAATTTCTTCAATTTAACTATATAAATTTAAATATTTGCTATTAACGGCAAAATATGTATGTACATATTAATACCCATCAAATTATACATTTTTATATTTACAAAATTATATGTACACACATATTGATTGAAGATATTCTATTCTATTTTTGTTTGAAAGAAATGCAAAACAGTATTGTGCATATGCAAATAAATTTTGTTGCTTTTCACATTGCAATTTTAGACATTGCTTAATTTTTCAATCGCTGTTTTTTTTTTTTGCCATGCATCATTTTCATAATAAAAGCATTACGTGATTATTGGCTTTCTTATCTTTGTTAGATCAGGTTCCAAAGTGATGGACAGAGGTCGAATCTCGCCAGCGAGCGAAGCTGTGCTACCCCTCTCGCTTGAGCAACAACAAGATCATTTTGACTCCAATGAAGATAGGTAAAATAAATGTAAATATTCAATTAAATTAATTACATGAATACTATACTAACATTAACGTTTAAACTTCGTCGACAGTACAAATATGGAATTGACAAAGTTAAAGAACACCGCGTCGAACAATGAAATTCTGGAGGCAATGAAACACCCGCAGAACGGTGTAGGATTCCTTACACAACATCCGTCTCTCCCGAGTCAAACATTTGTCAGTGCAGATGCAGTGCAATGGTTAAACGACCACATAGAAGGAGGAGTAACAGTGGAGAATGCTATCAGTATCATGAATGTAAGAATTACTTTTTGATTTGCAGAAAATTTATTGGTCATATCTTAATAAAATACTTTCACCTAGGGCATGATACAAGACAAATTAATATGCCACGCATCTGGCGATTTTTCTAAACCGTTCATTCTAGGATTTTATTTATACCATGTAGTACAAGATAAAGAAAATCAAAGAGGTTAGTGGAAATATTTTTCATGCATGACACACATAAATGAGCTATTTACTTCTTGTATCTTTTTCCTCCCTGAAGCTGGAGAGTATTTTTCACCTCTGGGTGATTTACAAAGCTTCGAAAATGAATGGGTAGAGGTTGAAACAAAAGCACCAAAAGGCTGGTGTGAACCCACTTCTCCAGGATCATTTCTGCCTATGTCATCTCCGATGACTATACCTAGCACCGACGCTGTGGACGAATCAAATGTACCGCCGTTTCTTAAAGATGATCTAGACGTAGAGGATACCACGGATGATAGAGAATGGCAAGGTAATGTAAACATTGCATTCCCAATACTGTGAATTTGAATATTTTCTTACACCTTTATTTATACAAAAGTCCACGAAAAATTACACAACATAGATTTACATTACTTATATTTTATTTTCTAGTCCCGCCATATAAACATACTCATTTAGATATAGATATAAATAACAGAAGCGACAGAATTGAATGGGGTCATTTAAGATATCAATCTATATACAAGGTGGATCACTCTTATGAACTTGTAGTTCAGTGGGTAGCATCATCTGGTAGTATAGTTGCTGATCTTGTAAGTACATTTTCACGGCATTTCAAAGCTAAATTTTGAAACATTATTACTATATGAGGATTTCATTTTGGAAAGATATTTGTGTGGCAACGTAAGGCTCAAATGTGCGGAATTCAAATGGTTCCTATTCCCAGTGATCTACTAGCACTACCGTTCACTTTAAAAAGCGATCCTTTAAGGGGACCTATTTTTATACCATTAAATGCAGAGTGTCTTATGACAAACAAACGACACCTTTTTGAAGGTTTGTCATCGATGTTAATACGAATGTCAATGTTATTGAACATCAAATACGTTAATTAACATATATCAATTACAGAATTTCGTGAAGAAACTTACGCACAAAGACTTTTTCTCTTTCAAGAAGCAATTGTACAAAGATTTGGCTTTGTTCCTTGTTTAATAGAAAGTACCGAAAACGATCATCAGTATGTTCATATGACAGGCAATGCGTTTATACTGATTCCATCTACTGCAAGTACGAGATCGCGTCCCCGAACTGCTACTAATGTTGTAAGACGGAATACAGGACAAAAAGGATATCCAATTCATTCTGATCAACCCAGTCCCCATGAAGCATATATTACGAGACACGTTAGTGGAAAGAATAAAGACGATTATAATAAGGATAAGAGGGTAAGTGTGTATGACTTATATTGAAAAGAAACAGTTGAGAAACAATTTTTTCCTATCTAGATTGGATTTCTTTGGTCATGGAATCATATGCTTAGTCGAAAATGGAAATCGTCGTCTACATTGGCTGGCGATGAATTATTTCAAAAGAAGCTTATTCAAGATTTTAGACATTTTTGTTCGAATGGGGACAATAGGTTGAAGCAATTCTGGGAATCTTGTTGGGAAATAAAAGAAAAATCGTATACGAAAGCTACCTAAGGCGACGAATGAAAAATATGACGTAGATATTATTTTATAAGCTTACATTTTACTTATAACATTTTAGAATTTTAGTTTCGCCATGATTAATGTGAGTACCTCGTTTAAACGGTTAAGAAATCATTTTAAATGTAACATGTACTTGTGATACGATTATTATTACGATAACGAAAGTATGTACAAAATTAAAGATATTTTCTGACGCTTAAAAGAGACGATGTAAATGAACTCAAAAGCAATGTTTGTAATATATATTTCATGTTTACTTAGTTTGCATAAGGCATCTGTTGTTTTTACGAAACTAGTAATAATAAATTTATAATTTTTGTTACTAATATGTGTATTTATACAATTACTAAAAAAGAAAATGAAATTATATTGAAGTAAAATAAACCGTGTCTTTCTTTAACCACATATTTTTTAAAGCAACACAATATCGCATTTACATAATTTTACACATGTAACATGTGATGTCATTTTTATTTTATATTATTATACTTTAGTCTCAATTTAAAAAAACATTGAGATTATATTAACGTTATTAACACACACTTTTCTCTAACATTGTACTTCTAATATTCTAATATTACTCTGTGCCATAAATTATACAAAAATATATTTTAATGAAAATATTACAAAATTTTAGACAGAATATAGATCGGAACAAGTACTTTCAGACAGTCGCTAATTATTTAGGAATTATTTGTACCTTAACGTAAGCGTACATAGTAAAGTATGCGTACATACCCACTCTTGTTAGAAACCTGCTCTAGAGGGAGGAGTCGCAAAATATCTTTTATTTCTTCGCAAAAATGTCCGACTGTAACAAAACATAATTAAACATGAGCATATGTAATAATTAATTTTAAATTAAGAGTGGTAATAAAGTACAAACCTAGAAGCGAGTGGAGTATTAAAAAAGCCGCGGGAAGTACTACGTTTAAGTAAAGATTCCGTGGATGGTGTATGTCTTAATTCTCCAGTTTTATGGCTACCGATGTTATGTAGGCTCTCAGGATTAACGAAATTTGCCCAATAATCCGAAGGAATTTTCAGTAAGTTTTCAACTATCTACACAAAATTCAAATTTTATGAAGTGTTAATACCTTAATCTTTTCGCTGCAATACTTACAGCGACTTGATTTTTCGTTTCGGAAAGAAGAGAAGTAGGTGATGGGTCTTGACTACTATAACCCACCAATGTAGGCCCGAAAACTTTAGCTAAATTACTTATTGGCATTTTACATTCCGGACTACTTGATACTCTTTGTAAATGCAAAATTAGGAAAGCAAGTGTATCTCTGTTAGGCTGAGGTAATTCTGAGATTGCTTGATATAAAGCAGCATCAGCATCTTGTTTATCAGTAATAGTGGTGGCACGAACAAAATCCGCCCATAATCCCACAGTAATTAGCGGTTCTCGTAATAATCTAGAAATAGAAAAGAATAAAGAAATTGTTTCATTTATATTAACAACATGTTTTAATTAATATACCTAAGGAAATCTTTAAGAGTAGAGCATATAGTAGCTATATCAACATCTGAAAGATTAGGAGCTCCTCTGCCTTTGTTCACTCATCCCTCTTAATTCTACTTCATTGATACAATGAACAACCAATGATGGAACCATGGGTGGGATCATAGGTGTATAATCTGCTATTGTTCCCTAAGAATAATATGTAATGATTTTTCTATTACAAATAAAAATTTCAGATGTTCAAAGCACTTACTGATATTCCACGTAACGTAGGTGTATTTCCGGTAGGCACACATGGTAATGGTACTAAATCTTTACATTCTGTATGAGCTGTAGCTCTACAGTCCCTACATTTTAAAGCTACTTTTCCAAAACGAATCCTGAAATATTATTTTTATATATATGTATTTAAGCTATTTATGAGTACCATTACATTTTCATATGAATACTTTTATTTACCTCTTATCACAAGGTGTACAAACTTCTGGTTTAATTACTGTTTTTGCTATAAAACTATGACCTCTAGCAGATTTCGTATTCAAAGTATATCCACCTATATTTGGACTAGGTTTAAAAACACCTTCAGAATCTGATCCTGATGTAAGAATATCTGCTTTTGGTGCAGAAGGCTGTAATATAATTTTGACATTAAGATAGTAACATAAATATGAAAAATATTCCATTATGCGTAAAATAACTCACAGCAGTGTCTGTGTGTATTTCATTTGTATTAACAGGAGTCAATTTCGTCTTACTGCGATCACCACTTTTACGCCTTTTGCGTGAGCTATGTAATGGACCCTGTGGGTCTGTATTCTCATCTCTAGGTATAGCTTCAATTACAGAAGATGCAGTGATACTGCCTTCTTTAGGCATTACTACTGTAGTTGTAGCTACTATTCTATCAGATGTATTTAATTCTGCAACTTTTTGTGCAATACTGCGACGTTTTTTTGCAGAATATTCACCACTGGGTCTGTGTTCTTTCCATTCGCGTTTCTTTTGATTTTGCTGAATGATTATACTAGCATCTAAATCATCTTCTGACTTTGAAAAGCAACTTAAATCACTTAAGATTGAGCCAGTGGAGTCCAGCTCCGCTATTGTATTTAATCTAAAATAATGATTAATTAATGCTTTTTCAAATAATAACAGATTATTTTTCTTTACAGAAAGAAACTTACTTGTCATTTTGATGTAAGTCTTTAATATGTATGTTACTGTGACGACCATTTAATGTAGTATTATTTAAAAATTGTAACTTTTCACGGGTCTCATCATTTAAATTTCTTCCACCATCATTAAATAAAAGATCTCTGGCCATAGCAATTTGTCTCTCCTAAATAAATATAAATAATGAAAATACAATGTTAATCAGTTTGAAACTGCTTAGAATGAAGCAAAACATCTACCAGTGAATTTCTCTGCTCTTCAGCAGTTCTTCTTCTTCTTTTCTCCTCATCTAAAAGTCTTCTAGCATGACTTAACTTCCTATCCAAATCAGCTGCCTCTTGGTGGGCTTTTTCTAAAGCTGAATGAAGCCGTTGACACTCTTGTATAGATCCTAACCATTTTTGCCTCATTTCCTCTTGATTTATAGCAAATTGTAAAAATTCTACATAAGATACAACATAAGATACATGTTATACCAGAGGATAAAGGTACAGCTGTTTTATATGTATTTATAATGATTTCACTCAGTGCACTATTTACATCAAATTACACTCAATTTACATTACAGAAATGAAATAAAATTGTGTTTTCTTTATTACATGAACTTGTAAATAAGTATCATTACTCTATAATAAATGAAACATAAGACATACAACATATAACACAAAAATTCAAAAAAAATTGCATGTGCATCCTTCGAATATATTTTTCACAGTATTAAGAAGTAAATGCGTAAATAAGTAAAGCATCGTAGAAAGTACATAATACATTAAGTTCAAACCTTCTTCACAAGCTCCAGTTACGAGTACATCTGTACATCGTACCACTTCATCGTGGCTTGCCAGCAACGACAACGAAGTAGTCATCTTCGATTCAGCGTTAATCTTCTTCAAACGAAATTACAATGTTTTGTCATGTATAAAAACTACGCTACAGGTTCACGCCAACTTTTCGTCAACTATTTCGATCTCACAATATTTATACTCTAACAAATGTCAATTCGTTGGAATTTTAGTTACAAGTTCACTGATACGACATACGTAAGACATTTCTATTACAAACTTATGCAAAGATCCATTAAAAATCCAGCACACACGCGTAGTATCGCGCCATGAAGCCGTTGACATTACACGTTGGGCATGCAACAACCGCTTTTTACTGCGATTCAAATTCGACCAATAGAAACTACGCACATTTAATCAGTTTTCAATTTCTCCGCCAGGAGTCTTCAGTTTCATCCGGGCGGGAAATCTTTTACACGAGTGTAGTGTGTTCCAACTTTATTTGTTTTAAAATTAATAGTTTTAAAAGAAATTCTTAGTGACGAGCTTGAAAAAGTCTTTTGGTAAGTGCAAGAATTAAATTTTTCAGTATAAAACATATATTACCACCTTTTGGTAGACCTTTTTTCTGAAAACACGTAGGCAGGGATTTCGTCGTTTTTTTCGTCCCTCTATGCCAACGAGAATATCAGAAATTAAATCGTTATTTCGAAATAGAATTAGATTAATTTCGTTAAAAGTTTTATCTGTACGACAAAAAGCATGCACATTCCATACACAGCAATTGTTCTATGGGACTTTCTTATAAAGTTCGAAGTTAACAAATAAAATAATAAATCGAATTTAGTAATTGGAAATTTTGTGGTTTTGATCGTTAATTCTTCGATTACGCAACGATATGGCGTATAGTATCGATTTTCTTTTCCTGCGGATTTAATTAAACGTCCGTCGAACAGATTTAGATGAATTAAAATCGAAAACCGTTTCATAGAGGTTCAATAATCATCAACGTTTCCGGGATATCGACAGTTAAATAGTTGTAAAGGAAGAAAAAAGATAATGGCGCAGGACGAGAAATCTCTGCCCCACGCAAACGATTTATTTCGTTGATAAGGAAGTAGCTACTTCCTGAATACTATTTCGTAGTGTCGATTCTTCCTGTTCTACTGAATGTATTTAAAACTATTTTTAAGCTTGCTATTTTCGTACAATGTGATCTTTATAATATTACTTTTGAAATCTTTCTTTTTAAAGAGTGCTTCTTGTCGTTCAGATTCTTTCCTTTATTAAGAAACATAAAGTTTCTCCTTATCTGCATATAATAGATTTATAAATAACAATAATATAATTAAGTAGAAGTATTAAGAAAGTGTTAAAGTCATCCGAATTATTTGAATTATTATAAAATAGCTATTGAATGAATTTCTTTTTTCTTTTTCTTAACTGTGCCATCTAGAGGCCAAACTGGTTAACTATAATTTTAGATAGTTCTATTTATCACCACCAGAAATTCAAATTTTTTATTACCGCAGTGTAATAAGTTACTGTAGGTAAAACAAAAATAATTATTTGTTAATAAATAACTCGTTTCATTCTAATCCGTTCAATTCTATTAGTTATGTACTAAACGTCAATTTTGCTTACTAAAAGATTTAAACAAAATGTACACAATAGAATACGACAAATGAAGTAATTATCATAAATAGCTTTTGAACGAATTTCTTCTTTACCTTCTTTCTTAATTTTACAAATAAAATCAATTTGAACTTCCTACACTCTTTTTTTATTAAAAGACTCATTTATTTTACTCTAATTAATTTAATTCTATCACGTATCGTATATACATTTTATTTACTAAGAAATTTAAACAAAATGTGCATAATAGAAGAAAATAAACGTAGTACTTATCATAAAATAGTTTTGGAACGAATTTCTTCTTTACCTTCTGTCTTACTTGTACAAATAGAAGCAATTAGACCTTGGTACATTATTTTTCTATTAAACTTCATTGCAATCTAAAAATTCATTTTACTCTACACTATTCAATTTTATTAGTCACACATCAAATATACATTTTATTTGCTAAAAAATTCAAACAAAAACGTGCCCAATAGAAAATTAATATTCACACGAATAAATAAGCACGTTAAAAATGATCTTCAACACTTGTAATTATTTACACGGAAAATGTTTCCAGGCTCACGTTGAACTGGTTAAGAAATGGACTGATTGACATCCGGTGGAGATCTCTCAAGTCGACTAAAATAACGTTCAAGTATCGTGAACAGAGGTGGAAGTTTCAGCATGGAATTTCTCGGTTATTCCCGAGACGAATCCCCGATTTCAACGGATATCGAGACCCAGAGGAATCAAGCCAGAATTGGCGCAGGGAGGAGAAGGGGGGAGAGGAGGGTGAGTAGCTAAGTATTATCGTCGGTTAGACTCCTGCGAGTATTGTGCCTTTACTCTCTACGTCACTATATCCTTTAACGCACGAACGATTCTAAAATTGCGCTTACCTCTTGCACCCTTCCGCGTCTGCGTGCTCGGGCTCTTCGATGGGCAACGCGAATCGTTCAATTTTAAACCATCGTCTGCACTGTCGTCTTCTTTTTATTTTCTGTTTTACCGACATCACGTGCAGAACTCTCGCGGAAGTCCTCTTTGTAAAGTACGATAGCAATTTCGGTTTGACAAATCTTTAGGACCTGTGGAATCCGCCTTATCTTGTCTACTGTCTTAGGAAAAGTTTGGTAGAGTTCGCGGTAAATGTCCTTTTTAAATTAATTCTCTTTAATTTAATTTTCTTTTCTGGTTTTTCTTTAAATTTTTATTTATGTTCTTGCATATTGTGGGACATAGATATTTAACCGTGGAATCTGTGTTATCTTGTTTACTATCTTAGGAAAAGTTTGATAGAGTTCGCAGTAAATGTTCTTTTTAATTTTATTTTATTTTCAATTTTTCTTTAAATTTTTATTAATGTTCTTGCATATTGTGGGACATAAATATTTAACCGTGGAATGTTACCTGATACAGTACTAAAACATTAAATGGCTGACGCTTACATGCGTAGTCAGAAAAGTAATCATAGGTTAAGGGGTTAATTCGCGAATTAATTTTTCTTATTTCTTTCAAATTTTTATCGATGATTTTGCATATTATCGGATATAAATATTCAACTGTAGAATCTGTGTTATCTTGTTTTCTCTCTTAGGAAAAGTTTGGTAGTTTTCGCGGTATTAACCCTTTAACCTACAACAACGTGTCAGACTCGTGGTAGAGATTTTGGTGAAGATGCGACAAAAATAGTTAAATTAGTAAGAAAAATTAATTGCAGTCCTAGCTTTAGTTTTAACTTGTAAGATTAAGAATTCCTAAATGCAATTAATCTGTAACAGATTAGCTTTTGTTACCTGGTACAGTACTAAAACATTAAATGGCTGACGCTTACATGCGTAGTCAGAAAAGTAATCATAGGTTAAGGGGTTAATTCGCGAATTAATTTTTCTTATTTCTTTCAAATTTTTATCGATGATTTTGCATATTATCGGATATAAATATTCAACTGTAGAATCTGTGTTATCTTGTTTTCTCTCTTAGGAAAAGTTTGATAGTTTTCACAGTAAATGTTTTTTTAAATTTTTATTGAAGATTTTGCACATTATGGGACGTAAATATTTAACCCTTTAAGCGGTACATATACCTTTTGAATTTTGTGTTAAAATAGTCTGCTTCTGGTATTTTAACATATTATTATTATTATTTGCAATTTTTATTCTTAAAAAACGTTCTCTACTCAAAGCTACAAACATGCAAAAAATAAATCACTGCTCAATGAGTTTATATTTGAATTTTATTCATACAGAAAATTGCAACCTGTTGCATTTGCTCCAATAATTATAATATGTATACAGTGACTTAGAAGAGCAACAAGATTTACCTACTGTGAGCAGTTCAATATTCAGATTGAAAGTTCTTTTAGTATAATTAAAAAGCAACCATAATTAACGTTAAATAATTCTTCGTTTCTTAACCTTTTACGAGACCGAATTATTTTTCTCTATTATTCTTTTCCAAGACTAAATTACTTTCTTTCATTACTTCTTTTTAAAACCGAATTATTTTTTTATTATTTCTTTTCGAGACCAAGTTATTTCTCTCTATTATCCTTTATCGAGACCAAATTATTTTCTTCCTTATTTATCTACCAATTGCCACATCTGCAATGTACACTAAACTCAAATCAATTTTTATCCGTGCACTCAAGCACAACACACGCCTCCCACTGGTCACGAAAGGGTCAAGAGTACGAGATAAACGCATTAATTTTCCTGTTTGTAAGAATATGGTTGAGTGAAGGTAGGGACTCGGGCTGGTTTATGACCCGCAGACCTCTCGGTCTGCGGAGGAGTCCGGTCTCAACGCCTGACTCCCCCACGCGCTAAGGGCTGGGTCAGGTAAGGACCCAACTTTCGCCACGGTTTCCGGAAGGCAAGAGAGGGGCGTCAAGGCCCGCATATAAGGACGCGTTAGGAGCACTGCGGGCAGAAACATAAGAACTGTAAGAATTGTAAGGATTGCAGGTGGGTAAATTGAGCCGCGTAGTCAACGACGGAATAAATATAGTTTTTTTTTTAATTATCGGACGAAGCACTATTTAAACTGAAACCCCTTACATATTACAACCACACCGTGTGCAAAGCGACAACCAGTACACTTGATTCCATTACAGTAACACCGACTTTTCACATTTACATGTAGAAGGCGAAGTAGTTGAGAAAAGTTTCGATAACACAATTTATCAAACATTTCCCCGGGTTCCCTCTACCTTTGTGCGATCGAACGACATCTGAGAATACCGAAGTGCCGCAAAAAAGAATGGCGAACCTTGAAAAATCGGAGGGGAAAAGTTTTGGAACGGCAACGAAGCTAGGTTACGGGGTAATATTTCCGTGAAAAATCGAACCGATGATCCGTGAACGTATTTCGTACTCGCGAAACGGTAGAGAGGGGTGCCCGTGGGATCGCAAAAGCTCCCAGGAATCGCGTAGTCAGGGCTTTCCTTATCCATGCATGAATAT